ATCCGGATATTTCATTTGCAGTCAATCGTCTCTCTCAATACATGCACGATCCGACTGAAGCTCATTGGCAAGCTGTCAAACGCATACTTCGATACCTCAAGGGCACACTTAACCATGGCCCCTTTTTACGTAAATCAGGCGGGCTGCATCTATCCGCATTTTCTGATTCTGATTGGGGGGGAAGTCCAGAAGATGGTCGATCTACCACCGCATATGCGGTATATCTTGGACCTAATATTATTTCGTGGAAATCTGCCAAGCAAAAATGTGTGCCACGCTCATCTACTGAGGCTGAATATCGGGCTGTTGCTAACACGAGTGCTGAAGTTTTATGGGTGCGTAATCTTTTACGTGAACTTGGCGTCTACTCGCCAACTATTCCTACATTGTATTGTGATAATCAGGGAGCTACATATGTATGTGCCAATCCGGTTTTTCACTCTCGCATGAAACACCTTGCCTTAGATTTTTTCTTTGTTCGAGAGCTCATTGCCCGCAAGCAACTTAAGGTTTGTCACATATCTACCAAGCTTCAAATTGCAGATGCTCTTACTAAACCATTGGCGACTTCATTATTTCAGCATTTTCGGACCAAGCTGGGAGTTTCCGACGGAACCTCCATCTTGCGGGGGCGTATTACGACATAATCATTTTAATATTATTTGTATAATTAATATTATCTAGTTTGTATTTAGATAATAGTGTGTAACTAATTTATACTACTACACGCTAGTCTTAGGCAGTTAGTTAGCCAAGTCTATCTCATCACTATGGCTTCGTGTATATATACTTGTACAGATGCTGTAACATCCCGCCCCGTAGGGCCCGATGTAGTTACTCCAGACCTCTCTCCGGACCTCTAGTACTGTCCTCACAAACCACCACGAGCCTTTACCGCGCACTTTGTCCTCACTCATGCGCGTCCTGAGAAACTTCCCAGGGGGTCACCCATCCCAAGACTACTCTCGTGCAAGCACGCTTAACTTTGGAGTTCTTGGGTGATGAGTTCCCTCCCTTAAAAGGAGATGCACCTCTGTTGGTATGAGTAGTACTATTAATCCTCTTAAATTAATCTCGGATATTACAATCACCCCCACTTAGGATCGCAACGTCCTCGTTGCGTCCATAAACCAATATCAATCATATCCCAGAATCTTTTCCCCTGCTAAGTGCTCGCCCGATATCTAACGGATCAACACATTGTCGCAGGGTTGTTCTGATACCATTTGTAACACCCCGCCCGTAGGGCCCGAGGTAGTTACTCCAGACCTCTCTCCGGACCTCTAGTACTGTCCTCACAAACCATCACGAGCCTTTACCGCGCACTTTGTCCTCACTCATGCGTGCCCGGAGAAACTTCCCAGGGGGTCACCCATCCTAAAACTACTCTCGTGCAATCACGCTTAACTTTGGAGTTTTTGGATGATGAGTTCCCTTAAAAGAAGATGCACCTCTGTTGGTATGAGTAGTACTATTAATTCTCTTAAATTAATCTCGTGTATTAGAGATGCATGCCTACATATACATAAATATATCACATTTATTCAATTCTACACCGGGGAGGCCCGGGAAAGGTTCCCGTTCGGGTCCAGGGGTCTTGCAAAACACCGCGTGTTGATGGCCTCCGGGTGCAGCTGTTAGCCCGGTGTTCGGGGGTTTCCTGTTCGGGAAACGGGGCTTGTCTATTGGATAAGTATCAGCCTGTCAAATCATTCGTTATGTTTGTCAGGCTTCCCACGTGGGAGTACAGCTGGTACAGCTGGTCCTCTGTTCGTTTTATTAGTGTGCACGTGGGTCCCACTCACCATTCTCTTCAAATTTTACCAATTACAGTAGAGTAGCTTGCAACCTCCTTTGATCTTCTGCCGTCATCTGGCGTTTATCTCAGGACACGGAAAGGGTTTTTGCATTTGGCAGGTCTCCTGGTTATCCAGGTTCAGTCTGATTTCTTCCTTCTGTTCTTCTTGTTTTTCCTTCCCCAGAAACATTTTTTCTTTCTTTCCTCTATGGTTGCAAGCAAGTTCGCATGCCTTCTTCTAGCTGCTGGTCTGGAAACTCTCCTGGGAAGTGGGCCAAGGCTATCCTCAGGAACTGACGATGAATTTTAATTGGAAAACAGCGTTTGGGCCCGCCTACTGCAGCGACCGTTTGTATCAGTGTACTGCTTCCTCCGTTCTTGTTCCTCAGTGAGGTGAGACTTCAGCAAAATTTGTAAAAGGTGAAGAACACATGTATCTTTTTGAACGGTTTCCCACAGACGACGCCAATGTTGAGTTTTAGTCCCGTAGATCTGGAAGATCAACATAAACTTCGGATATTAAGGACGATAAATTCCGTATAAAAATAAATAAATATATAAAAGGTGTATGAACTAGCTATTTTTACGTGGAAACCCGGAAAGGGAGAAAAACACGGGACTTTTTAGGCTAACGTCCAAGCCCGCTTGTTGAGGGTAAATCCCGTAGATCCGAAAGCCCAACACGAACTTTGGATATATCAGGAATGATACAGAATCAAAGTGTATAATCAAAATATAAAATATCAACTCACTAATACTCGAAAGCTCACTTGTATTAATTAACTAGTCTGATTACAAGGAAATTCTCGATCGGTAGGTCGGAAATAATGCTTTAATACAAGAAATAAGAGCAATGATGCTATTCTAGAGCCTGAGTATTGAAATGCTAACCCTTACAATGATTTTAAACCTTCTATTTATACTAATGGAGAGCATGGGCTGCCCTATGCTGATTGGCTGTTGTTCCACCGACTTGGTCACCCATGTTTCCACTTGCTGATGTCACAATCTGACATTAATTGCACCGGGCCACTTGCCGGTTGGCCATTGCCCGAACGGGATGTTGGACTATGCTGAAGACGCTGCCAAATTGGCCCAAGTATGATATACAGCCCGAACTCCGTTCGGTGTATCTTCTTACTGGGCCAACCCTTACTTGGGCCGAATCTCGTTCAGCATGAATTCTTCACTGGATCTATTCATCATAGGGCCCGTTGCTTGGGCCGGGTATCTTGAGCCTTCTTGATCCGGGTATTGGGCCTCTGGATCAATATCCCAACACCGCTCTTTCTCATTAATCCGCTCTCCTCACCATAATTACATAATACAAATATTAAGCTCCATTAATGGAGTCTTCAACAAACTACTTTAAGGGAGTGGGGGAGGGAGAATTCTCCCAACAGAGTAGAGAAAAAGCCAAGAAGAGAGTTCCCTTTAACAGGAAGCAAGGCCTCCTATTTATAGAAAGAGGGAGGGGTTTCTAGTGGGCCAATGGGCCTAAATGGACAGTTGGGCCGGAATATGAGCTGATGGGCCTGATATGGGTCGGGTAGCCCTAAATGGGCCTCGCCGATTGGGTTCCGTACCGGGGCGGTGTCTTGGACCTCTGAACAGTAGTAGACCGGGATAATATTTCTCAACAATCACTTAATTTTGTCAAATAAGGAAGAAAACAAAAAGATAAGAAAGTAAGAAAAAGAAATGAGCCCCATGTGATGATGTTGTTGCTTTATTGAGTTAAGTAAAAAGTCTAAATCTAAACTCTAAAGTCAAGTTATTTATTCAATGGTAAGGCGAGTTAGGACTAGATCTTACTTTTAGAAAATCCAAATAGGATAGAGCGGACCCAATTCAATTAGTTTTATACTTTTATGAAAAAGTACTTTAATAAAACTCAATGAAACTTAAATTATACCTAGATTACGAGAATTGTGTGATCCTTCACTTTTGATGAGTATGTTTTGTCATCAGCGTTGTGCATGTCACATTTTCAATTTATGCGTAAAAGATGGTTTAACCGCGTATCCAATTTATGGGGTGCAAAATCAAAGTTTTTTGAAAATGAGGTGCAAAGTCCAATATCACTCAAAAAATAGGGTGCAAAGTCAAATTTCCCTTAATAATAATCATAATGATGACGACGATGTCAATGATGACGACTATGATGACATCAATGATGATGACATTGATGATGTTAATGATGCCGACAACAGGGACGACAATGACGACGACGATGGTGGTGGTGGTGATGATGATGATGATAATAATAATAAAAATAAAAAATAACAATAATAACAATAACAACAATAACAACAACAACAAAAACAAAAATAACAACAATAACAAAAGTAATTATAATAACAATAACAACAACAACAACAAAAATAACAAAAATAATAAAAATAACAACAACAACAACAACAAAAATAAGAATAATAATACTAATAATAGTAATAACAATAACAACAACAATAATAATAAAAATAATAATCATAATAATGATAATAATGATAATAACAATAATAACAATAATAATAGTAATAATAATAGTAATAATAACAGTAGTAGTAGTAGTAGTAATAATAATAATAATAATAATAATAATTTAATAGTTATAAACACTCAATCGGATTATAGAGATTCAGATGAGATCAGAAAAGTTCACATCAGATTAGAAAGATTCAAAGTCGATCAGAAGAGAAAGATTCAAATTAGATCAGATCAGAAATATTAGATCACGAGAATGTGATTCTAGCAGTTTTGTCAAGTTGACGATGCAATTGAAGCATGACGCTTTGTCTGTTTAAAAAGGGACTACGCAAAAATAAACCATAATAAGGATTATTAAAAAACGGACTGGATATAGTTGGTATTAATAATACCAATTTTTCTTAATAAATATACCTCAAAGTTTATATAAAAAGTTATTTTCGCAACATGATTATATGTTTTGTTACAAATACAAATTTATTGAAATAATTACTCCAAACCTTGTTAGACCGTAATTAACATTCTAAAATATCATTTGTAAAATAAATACTATTACATCTTATACAATTTAATTTTCATTGCATCCTCATAAATGTTTTGTGTATTTTAAATTATGTACTTTGTATTTAACACCATCTAATTACATTTGTGAAAAAATATGAGTATTGTTCTAACATTACTCCATATATAAAGTTTGTAATACACTCCATATATTACACATATAAATTTGATGTATTTATTTAACACTCTTCAAAAATTGAGTTATTTAAATTACTCGGTATTTCACTGTATAAATAGAGATGGGCCATACAAAGTAAAAACCTCGTAAATTGGGTAAGGGATTGAAGACTGTGGGCTTTATTGGGAAGATGAACCTAATGAGCCTATTGCTGTCATGGTTTCCATTGCTTCTCACTTGGCAGCTATGGGATTTCCCCATCACACAATGTGAAGCCAATCCTCAGACCGAATCCCTCTACGACGTCGTAATCAGCTCTGGACTCTCACGCAGCAGTGATAATGCTCTCTCAGCAGAGTGGCCCGAGCTGCCAAAATATCCCTCCTCTTCTTCTTCATCTTCAGTTTACGTTGGCCCACAGAAAGGGTTGAGGGAAGCTGATAAGATCGTTTCCCTGCCGGGGCAACCTCTCGGAGTCGAGTTTGACCAATATTCAGGCTATGTAACGGTTGAGCCCACGGCTGGAAGATCTCTGTTTTATTACTTTGCTGAATCTCCTCGGAATTCCTCTGCCAAGCCTCTGGTCTTATGGCTCGCTGGAGGTATGCACCTTACCATTGATTGCATTCACTCCATCAACGTCTTTGCAATATACTTCTATCATGTACTAATTTTAGGGTAATTTCGTAACTTTGAAATCTGACTCTCTTTTTTCAAAATTGTGATGAAAGTGCTGAATTTATTGAATTTTAAAAAAATCAAAATACATTTTTTAAATAAAATAAAGATAGTTTAAAAAATATAGAGAGCAAATATATGAAAATCACCTAAAATGCGGGAATTCAATCTTAATATTTACTTCAACTCTAACTATTTTGATGATTATGGATGTTTTTAGTTAGACTAAAATTTACGGATTTGGCCTGGTCTCATATATCCATGACTTCTATGATTGTCCATGTTTGATCTGATCTTATAGATGTATGCCCTCTATATATTCAATAATTGTCATGTCTGGTCGGGTCTATCTGGTCTCACACAAAAAATTAGAGTTATCAAATACGGAGTAACGGTCTTAATCATCAAAGTTAAAACATGTTTCTCTCATTATTATGTTGCACTTTATTTTTTTGTTTCTGCTGGATTCTGTTATATGATTCTGTAAAAATGTACAGTCGAGTTAGTCGTAGATAAATTAGAATACTTAGCCTTATCTGATGTAATTTACTCACACGTATTAGATAAGTATGGTTAGGTAGTCAGATCCTATGTTTTACGATCTCATCAGTTAGACTGTTAGACTTGTATCCTATATATATTGTAATCGAGTGATGGAATAAATTAATCAATTCTATTCTCCCAAACTTACATGGTGATGGAGTATATGGCCCGGGAACCCTCGGTCCACAGACTCCTACTACTCCAATAAAGGCCCAATAGGCTCAGGAAGCACAACAGGCCCAAATCTCAGCACCCAGAATACCAAGCAGCCCACAGTGCGCACCAGGGGTGCCTTCGGCCCCTGGTCGAAGGCTCTGATTCTAACAGGAGGGTCAAATCAGGAAAACAAAGTTACTGGGAGAAAACGGCGAAAATCAGTAGCCCTCGGCACTAAGGAGCCCTCGGCATTAAGGAGGTCCCCGGTACTCAGAGCCCTCGGCTAGTCATCTACAGCCGAGGGCACCTTTCCGACATAATATCCGCTCCACATGCGTATGAATCACCATACCAAGTACGACGTCACATCCAACAGCCGCATTAAATGTGGCCACATGCGAGTGCCAGCGCCAGCCAGTTGAGGTGACCCCTCGGCCAATGGATGCTTGACACATGTCCCTGTTTGTCATTTATTGCTACTATAAATAGCACCCCATTTCCCCATTTGTAACCCAGAAGCAAAATACGCTGATCACATCTAATACACTCTCTCTCTCTTACTTGCTCTGACTTCTCTCTAGTTATTCCCCGCAATAACCCCTCAGATAAGCTGCCCCCCGGTACACTATCCAATATTTGGTGCTCTCGTTGAGAGGTCGAACAATTAAGTAAGAAACCCTCCCCCTTGACCAAACACAAAATATCTAGCTAAAATGGTGAGAACAACTCGTGCCAACTCCAAGAATGTCGAGGACAGTAACCTGGCCCTCGGCGATGTCGACGTCCCCGAAGCCTCTAACAGGGCTCCCGGGGGCGGCGTCATCGCCGAGTTGGACCAGACGTCTGTCGACCTACGCCATCAGATTCAACAGAATGCCCCCGATGTCCGCCTCGGCATCGAGGCCAAGAAGAAGGACCGGAGCGAGAATCAAATTAGCCCTCCGGTCATCACAATCGACGTACAATCGGCGCTCTCCACCTTCATCCAGACGCTCACCCAGAACCCGGGTGCCTTCGGCACTTTGGTTCCCCTCCAACCTCAGGTCGGGGAGAATATTATGCCTCCCCCTCATCCACACCCCCTCGGGAACCCGGTCCTCCGGATTGGGAACTCCGAGGGGGTCGTGGCCCAAGATACGGCCTCCCAGGAAGTCCAGTCCCGGGACCGCCACAACGTGAATAAAGAACAACTCCGGACCTCCGCCCTCGAGAGACTCGGAGGGGCGCAAGACCGCCGAGGGGTCCAAGACCGCCTCGGGGGGAAGGTGTTCCAGAGGGCTCAGGAAAGTGGCAGGTCCGTCTCCAGGGCCAATGAAAGGCATCCCCCCCAGGACAAAGGCAAGGCACCTCTCCATGCCAACGACGCCCGCCACCAGATCAACAAGGCCCACTCGACTCGTTTCCATTCGCAGGGGGCGGAGGCCCTCCCGAAGGACCCCCGGGACGAAATCATTGCGTCCCTCCAGCGCCGGCTCGACGAGATGGAGGCCACCAAAGCACACGCCACCACTTCTGCCCCTCATACAGACCTCAAGTATGAGATGATGTTGGCCAAGATGGAGGAAATGCAGAAGAATATAGCCGAGGGCTCCGGGGAACCCACCATACAGCTCCGGACCCCGACACCATTTACCCTAAGGATATTGGCGGCCGGATCCCGGAAAAATACCGAGGGCAGCTCATCAAGCCCTACGACGGAAAGACTGACCCCCAAGAGCACTACAGCAGGTACCAAAACAACATGATGATGGTGGGGGCATCAGATGAATATTTGTGCCGCTGGTTCCTCTCCACCTTAGAGGGGCCGACTTACGAATGGTTCAATCGATTGCCCGAGGGTTGCATTGACTCATGGCAAGAACTCGCCCAGCGATTCTTGACGCAATTTGCGGGAAGGCGCCGCACAAGAAAACACTTTTCCCACTTGCTGACAGTAAGGCAGAGGAAGGAGGAGACCCTTCGGGACTTCTTGGAGCGCTGGAGAACGGAGGCTGATAAAGTTGATGGCGCTGACGACGGGACCCTCCTGGCCCTCCTCCAAACGGTACTCCGCCCCGGGAACTTCTCAAGGAGCCTCATCATCGAGCCTCCCCGCGATTATATAAGGCCCTACAGCGGGGGGACCGGTACGCCGAAGCCGAGGAGGTGGAGAAATACCACCACATCCCGGATCAGCAGTGCCCTCGGCCAGACGACAAAGGTAACCGGGGGCCGGGGGCTCCCCGCAATCATCCCAAGGATTCTGCCCCCTCCGGTGATCACCCCTGGCATGGCCAAGCCAAGCCCGGGGGAGGCTACAAGGGGAACCCGAGGGCTTGGGCGCAACCTATTCTCCTGGAGCACCCTCGGACACCTTTGACGCACCCCGTCAGCGTCATTCTTGATTTTGCTGAGGAGAGGGGCCTAGTGGAGCGAGATTCACGCGCACCCCCGAAAGTATTTGCCATCAATCCAAACTACCCCTACTGTCGTTTCCACCGGCACCAGGGGCACATGACCGATGACTGCCATCAGCTGAAGACGGCCATCGAAAGGTTGATACAAGCGGGCCATTTGTCCCAATTTATTCAAGGCCCTCAGCAACAGGGCCCCCCTCACCAAGGGCCACCCCGAGGGCAGACTGTGAGAGCAAATGCATGGGTCAACCCCAACACCATCCCCCTCGGCAAGAAGAGGGAGATTGGAAATCTGGAAGAAGAGGAGGAGGAGTACCCCCGGTACCAAGAAAAGAAACGCCACATCCTCATGATCACGGGGGGCAATACCGGGGGTGATTCTACGAGTCAACGAAAGAAGTGGGCTCAATCACTTTACGTGGGGGAAGTCACCCATATGCCCCCAATAAAGCGGCTGAGGGAGGAACCCATTATCTTCACTAACGCTGATCTCCCCCCAGTGTCCTCCCCACACAGGGATGCCCTCGTCATCCGCACAGAAATAAATGACACTATTATTCACCGAACTTACGTTGACACGGACAGCTCCGTCAATGTAATGTACCTCAGTACCTTCAGAGAGCTGCATCTGGAGAGGGGGTCCCTTCACCCCATCAAGACCCCTTTTGCCGGCTTCACCGTCGACACCATTGATTCCGAGGGGGTTATAACCCTCCCGGTACTCTTCAGCGACGGGCTCCATAGAGCCAAGCTCGAGGTGGAGTTCGTCGTCGTCAACATCGACTGCGCCCACAACATCATCCTCGGCCGGCCGGCCCTCGAGGAACTCAAAGCCGTCATCTCCATGAGGCACCTCTGTCTCAAGTTCCCAGCCGAGGGGGGCATCAGTTACTCAAGGGGGAACCAAAAGCTTGCCCGCGCTTGCTACCTTCAAGTGACAAAGAAGGTTAGCAAGACGGAGTTCCGCGTTGACACCATCACCGGAACTGTGGAAGCGGAAGAAAGGAGATCGAGGGCTGAACCAGCCGAGGAGGTAGAAGACTTCGCGCTCGATCCGGCCAAACCGGAGAGAGTCGTGAAGATTGGAGCCAAGCTCCCCGAAGACTTGAAGACCGGCATCATCAGCGCTCTCCGTGCCTACTCCATTGTTTTTGCATGGGGGCCGGAGGACATGTCGGGGATCAGCCGAAAGGTCATCACCCACCGCCTCTCGGTGGACCCTTCGGCCAAACCAGTACAGCAGCGGAGGAGACCCCTCTCGGCCGAGAGGAGGGAATTTGTGAAGAAGGAGGTCGCCATGCTCCTCTCTATCAAGCACATCAAGGAGGTAAAATACCCCTCATGGTTGGCAAACGTGGTCCTTGCACAGAAACTGCCCTCATTCCGCATGTGCGTGGACTACACGGATCTCAACAAGGCGTGTCCCATGGACCCCTTTCCTTTGCCAAATATTGATCAACTTGTGGATGAAACCGCGGGGTGTGAAATCATGTCATTCCTCGACGCATGTCGCCTTCATCACCACAGGGCAACTGCCCGGGGATGAGGCCCGCGCTAAGCTAGCAAAGCTGAGGGCTCCCAGCTACGCTATTGAAGACGTGAGGCTTTACAAAAGGTCCTACAACGGGACATTACTTCGGTGCCTTCATCAAGATGAAGCCGAAGTGGCGATGGAGGAAGTGCACAGTGGCACTTGTTCAGCTCACCAGGGACCCTTCTCCATGTCCCGAAGGCTAATAATCCAGGGCTACTTCTGGCCCACAATGGCCCGGGATTGTGCAGATCTTGCCCGAAAGTGCTCCGCATGCCAACACTTCCAGAAAGCCCCC